CTGCTCCTTCGGAGAAAGATGGGGCTTTCTACTTCAGTAAAGAGCTGCCATCTGAGACACTCACAGGGGCAATTGTACCCTGTTCTAAAGGGTTGCATGCATTGGCACTGACTCAATGGCAGTGAATTTTCTGAGTTTATATATTAATGATGGCTTTTTATTTATACAAACCATATATTAATACATTCACATTGTATAAAAGGAAACCCCGCAGATAAAATGAAATCCCCCTAGACAACAGCCCTGGAATCCCAGTTCGTTCCTAGAAGTTACTTATAAAGAGTAACATGTCTCATTCCCAATCTTCTGCTTTTCATACACACAAAGACATAGTTTAGCTTGGTCTGTTTTGCTTTTCCATAAGTGACATTGTACTTTATCTATTGTTATTCAACTTTTAATTTACATGCTTTGGAGAGCTTTTATTGTCAGTACATATAATCCAGCTCATTCTTTGTGACTAAATACTGCAGTACTCAGTAATTTGAATGAATCAAAATTTATTTAACCCCTAACCTACCATGGATAATTGAGTTTATTCCTAACTTTTTCTCTCAAGCAAGGAGACAATTAAGAAATCCCTGTTCGACATCTGTGGATATGTTTAGGTATTTATTTAGAGTCAATACCAGAAATTTAACTTCATGAGTAGAAATTCAGGTACATCATTTAAATTTTTAGTAGATACATTCATATTATCCCCATTTCTAAGACTCTTGGAGTTCTTCTTTTCCTGTTTTGTTAAAATTGTTGATTAAGTTAGAACTTATGCTGGAGTAAAGAATGAGGACGGATTGATTTTTTTCTCTCTCTTCCTTCCTGTGAATGACTAGGAGGAGCCCTGGTGGCCTAGAGGGCTGCACATTGATTTGCTAGCTGCCAAGGTCAGCAGTTCAAAAGCACCAGCGGCTCCTCTGGAGGAAGATGAGGCTTTCTATGCCTGCAAAGAGTCACAGCCTCAGGAACCCACAGGGACAGTTCCATCCTATCCTGTAGGACCCCTGAGTGGGCATCAACCCGAGGGTGGTGGGTTTGGCTTCTGGTTGATACATGATTGAGGGTCCCTGGTGGTGCTGTGGGCTAGACATGTGGCTGCTCACCGAAAGATCGGCAGGTCAGACCCACCAGCTGCTCTGGAAGATGAGTCTCAGAAACCCTATCGGGTCACTAGCAGTGGACATCAAGTCCATGGGAGTGGGGTTTTTGTTTGTTTGTTCTGTCATTTTGTTTATTAATGTCTAATCAGTTGTCTCTTAGGCATTCACTGATGAATCTATCTTTTTCCACTAGATTTGTAATGGGGCCTTTATCATATATTAACACACACACACCCCATGTGTGCCAGAATCTAGCTTTGGATGACCTATTCTGTTTTACCGATGTGTCTTTTCCTGTGTTGGTGTGGTAGATAGTAGCCACTTTAGCACTATGAGAACATTTTAATACCTGGCACGACAAGCCCTTCCTCATTACTCCTCTTTCCTAGGCTGTTCTGGGTGTTTGGTTTCTCTGGGATAATATGTAAAATATATCCTTGAAGACATAACATGTGTAAAGGTTGTCATATAAAGAAATACCTCTTTATTGATATGTTCTCTATTGATTGGGTTGCTGTACGTTGGAGAGGAGCTTTGTGATTATGCACTAGGCTGTGATCTGAAAGGTCAGCAGTTCAAAACCACTAGCTGCTCCTTGGGAGAAAGACGGCTTTCTACTACCGTAAAGAGTTGCAGTCATGAAACTCACAGGGGCAGTTCTACCCTGTTGTACAGGGTTGCTATGAGTCAGACTCAACTCGATGGCTGTGAGTTGACAGCTTGAGTTATAAGTTGGAACCAACCTGACAGTGGTGAATGTGGTTTGGTTAGCTTTACGAGTCCGATTTCACTGGAGGGAAGAGAGGGAATGAACGATTGTGGGCAGATTCTTGGAACAGCTCATGGCTGGAGACAGAAGAATCCAGAAAAATAAATAAAGCCTCCCGACTGGATGGGTGTGGGGCGAGTGTTACATCAGAAACTTAGATCATTCCACCTGAATAGCGAGACATAAGGACTGGGGTGAGAAGCCAGGGCCAGCCTACACGTGCAGTTCCCATTCTCACCTCTAACAGCCTGGCCGATGTAATGAACCCAAGTCAGGGGGACCTGAGTCAGAGGCCATCCTGCAGTTACTCTCACATACCCAGCCATGCACCACACTGAACCCAAACCGTTTTTCTACCCCTCACCCACACATCTAATCTGTGCGGGGCCAGATGACCTTGTTTGTAGGGCAGGTGGCAAGATGCTGAACAGGAATTTAACTGTCTGAAATAGGTCTTTAAAATGGCCACTCCTGCTGTCTTGAGGCCACTGGCAGAAAATGTAAAACTGGTGTATAATCAATGGCGGATCATCAACCCAATGGCAGTGAGGTTTCTTTAGGGAGGGGGGCGGGGTGGGGGGGCAGGTTGGGGGACTCTGGGGTGGTGTGTAAAATGAGCCTTGGGAACATAATAGCGGCTACCTGAAAGACTGGCAGTTCAAGCCCACCCCGCTGCTCTTCAGGAGAAAAACAGCACCGAGCGACAATTTATAAAGGGCTTAGGAATACCACTCAAATGGGGCACAGGAAGAAAGTGAGGTCCTCGGACTGGCGGTGTGCTGGCAGTGTGGCTGGAGGGGCCACTTCCACATCTCTGGTAGAAGCCTTCTGGAGATGCCCGTTGGGCCACCAGAGACAGGATCCCAGCGGGGAGAGGCCATGGGACGTCCACCTGGATCCTGCCAGATGCTCTGGTTGCTGGGCATCCTGCCTGGCAGGCAAAGCAGTTGCCATGACAACTCCCTAACCCACACGTCTGTGACTTTTTTTCTTTTTCCTTTCCCATTTCTCCTTTCCCAGTAGGTACTGAGGTATTCCAGGGACAGGCAAGCATGTTCTCAGGACAGCTTGTCCTCTGCTCCAGGAAAGGGGGCAGGGAAGAGAGAAGTGGAATTGGGTGTCCGCTGTGATTAATCCGACCTTCATCTATCCAACAGCCTCTGCATGTGCTTGTCTTTGGGTTAATACGTGTGCATTTGGTTGTGTGTCAACGCGAGTGTCCGAGTGCCTATTGTCTGTCCACCCACTTGTTTTCCTCACCCCTGCCCTGTGCAGGGAGAGTCTGGCCCTTCTCCTGGGCAGTGCTGAGTCATGGCTCTGGCTGGGTTTTTATCTCCCATCCCCCAGCGACATCCTTTTCCCAGGGCACCCCTCACCTCGGCTGGGCTTTCTCCAGCCCTCTGGGCCTGCGTGGTGGCCGCCCTCAGCGCCACTCACTTTCCCCGGATTCACTGCTGGGCACCTTATTCTGTTTCTCCCTTCACCCCTCCTTTCTCAGAAGTCAGTCTTCAGCCCTTCTCCTTCACCCTACTCTCCCCCAGAAGCCGGGATCTGACCAACTTTGACGCAGAGGCTGCTTCTGGCAGAACCTCCTCCAACGCTCACGCTAATCGGATCAGGGCCCGGCTCCTGCCTTGGGGCGTGCAAGGAAAGTGAGATTTCATTTGACACCACTAACTGAGACTTGTTTTATTCTACGTCTCTAAGTGCTAGCCACAGGCTGCTGGAGGCGTGTGTGTGTGTGTGTGTGTGTGTGTGTGTGTGTGTGTGTGTGTGACGGAGAAAGCTGTGCCTATGGGCTGGGCTGAGTTCTCCAAGCAGCAGGACATTTGGAGGGTGGTCTCTATAGGCTTTTTCCATCCCTATTGGGTTCCTCTAACCCAGAAATCCTAATCAGGTAGTTAGTCTTGCTAACTAACTCTAAATAAGGCAGACCAGGTGGGTGAGTGGAGTGGGGCCGCCCCCTTAGCTCAGTCTGGTTCCTATGGCGACAGCCGCGGAGTGACCTGAGTGCTCCTTTCCTCCCCCCCTCCCAAGCCTAGAGATGACGGCACCGCGCTGACTGCGCCAAATTCCAACCAATGGGCGGTTGCTCCCGCCTTCCCTTCCGCCACCCCTCTGCCCCCGCCCCACCCCCACCCCAGGGAACTCAGTTCACAAATCTGGACAGGGATTTCCGGCGTCCGGCGGGTGCAAGGACGCTGAACCCCGGCATGGGGAGAGGTGATCCTGTCCTCTTAAGCGGGCAAGTGGGAGCTGACGTTCTTGGGTCCTCTGGCCAGGCCCCTGTAACTCTGGGCCAGAACAAATCCCTCCCCGTTACCAGATTATCCCGAAGCCCTCGTGGCGGTGGTGGTGGCGGCCGCAGCCCCCACCCTGCTGGAGCGCGCCTGTCAGCACCACGGACAGAGATCCCGGGCTCGGCCCCGCCCGGCTCTCCCCAGCTCCTCCAGGCCCTGGCGGCGGCCAGTGGTGGAGACGCCGGTACCCTGGGCCAATGAGACAGTGAAAAGGGGCGCTCAGGCATGTGGCGAAGGCAGTGGGGACGGAGCAAGGATCTCAGGCTAGACAGCCTGTTTCTCTTTCGACCCCGGGATGCGGGGTAGCAGGGGCAGAGGTGGACGTGTAGCTCAAGCACCTGAAAAGAAGCTCAGCCGGGGAGTGGGGCCGTGAGGCTGAATGTGGCAGACAAGCCCCACCTGAGAGTGATACACAGGCTTCGTCAGCCTGAGTGGACTCTTGACCGGATGGCTGGGCTGTGGGAAGGGAGGGAAGTGACAGGCACCAATGATGACTGGCTGTGCTTGCCTCAGTGGGCCCATCGCGGGGGCGGGGGGCAACCACCTCCGCTGTCCTTATCCCTCCGTCTCTAAGTGGCTTGGGCATTAATGAGTGGCTGGTCACACAAAATGGAAGGGAGGGATTTAGCCTCCACCTTAGGTGCCCTCACTTTGTGAAATGGAAGCCCACGGGGCGGCGGGGAGTGTAACAGTGCTCAGGGACCTGCCCTTCCCCACTTGCCCCCCACCCCCACCCAGCTCTCATCCTCCTGGCCAATCCATGCCAATTTTCACGCCTGCTCGCTTGCTCCCTCCTTCCCTCCCAGGACCCAAAGAAAGACCGGCGCAGAACCATCTGCAGGCGCTTCTAGCGCTTTATAGTTCTCTCTGGGACAGACGGACAGACAGACAGTACGGCCCACGCCGTCAGCCCGCATCATTGGCACCTTGGACATGGCCCCAGGCCCAACCCTTACCCTGGTCCCCTCCCGAGAGGAATCCGGCCTGACCCCGGCTCAGCACCTCGAACAGCTCTCGGCCCCACCCTCCCCCCTCCCCCCAGAAACAAATAAATTAAAAAGGCGGGGGACAGTAGGGATAAGGAAGAGAGGCGCCCCTCCCCCAGAGATGTCTTACTCCCACCCGTCTGCTGAGGCTCCGCCGCCTCCTCCAGGTGCTCTTCCAGGTCGATTCAGCCCCAAATTTCAGCCTTCGGAAGCCGGCACCTGCCTTCCCCCTCCCCCAACTCCCGGCATGCAACACGTAGAAAAAAGACGGGGTAGGGACGGGTAAGGGACCCTCCTGGTGGGTGTCTGCCCGCCCTCAGCCCCACCTCAGTGGATCCAAACGTAAAACTAACGGTCCCTTTTCGTCTTGGGGGGTGGGGGGGTGGGAAAGAAATGGAGGGGGACACCGGTGGGGTGGGGAGGCAGACAGGAGAGAAAATGGTGACACAGGACAGGGGAGGAGGAGAAACGACCCCAAAGGGGAGATGCCCAGGAAGGTGCAGGAGGAGAAACGGGGCCCAGGGAGGGCGAAAAGGAGGAGGGTGCGGATGGGGAGAAAGGCAAGGGGTGGGAGGGAGACTGGAGCTGGAAGAACTGGAGGAGGTGAGAAAGGGGGCAAAACCCAGGGAGAGGGGCCTACAGACCCCCACCCCTCGACAAGCCTGGGGAGATGGGGACACAGACAGAAAAGATGAGGCTAGGGTCCATCCCCTCGCTCATCTCCCCCTCTCCCCACCGGCGTCCAGGCCTCCGGCTTCCCTTGCGGGTCCAGACTGGCTGTCTCTCTGCCCCGCACGGGGCGCGGAGCAGCGACAGCGGCGGCGTGGCAGTCCCGGGGGCTCGGGAGTGTGTCGGGGCCGGGGCGGGGGACGGGCGCGGCCCCGGGCGTCCCTAGCGGTCCAGGTTCATAGTCCAGTGCTTGGCTCCGGCCGCACAGCTGTCCCTGGCGGCGGAGGAGGGGGCGGCCCCGCTCGGGGGCCCCCCGGCGCCGGCGGTCTCGCCCTCGTTCTTGAGGTCCTGGAAGACCTGCGTGAAGAAGTGGGGGTCGGCGTTGAGCCGCAGCATCTGCGGGCTGAGCCGCTGGATGAGGCGCAGGCAGCGCTGCCAGAAGCGCTCCTTGTCGGGCTCCACCAGGAAGGGCTTGAGCGGGTAGGAGATCTCGTTGCCCATGTAGGAGTAGGCGAGGTAGAGGCAGGTGAGGAAGGCGGCCTGCAGCTCGGCGGCCGACGCTAGCTCGTCCCCGCGCAGCGACTCGCGGCACAGCAGGTACACGAACACCAGGTTGGCGGGCGTAATGAAGGCCTGGTCTTGCCAGCCCTGCAGCAGCAGCGAGCGGTCCACGCCGCGGAACCAGCCCACCAGCTCGCCCGGGCTCAACTCCTTGAGGCGGTAGCAGCGGCGGCACACGAAGTCGCCC